CCCCAAAACCCCAAAACCCCAAAACCCCAAAACCCCTGATTTTACATTAACGTTGAAACATTAATTTTTGAGAAGAAATTATTGATGTTCTTGTAGGGACCGATCCATATCTTAGGCTTAAAACAACAAATCTGGGCTCTGTTCAATTCAAAGTTAGATAAACTCAGTTGTGAAATCAGCATCTTCCGAACTATGGGTTGGCTGCCAAGCTGTGCTCCCTTTGGCCCCTGCTGCTTTTCCTCAAAAGTCATCATTGTCAAAGGCTAGTGCCGTAAAAGATGTAGTTTCTCCTATACGGATTAGCAAGAATGTACCTCTATTTGTTCATTTCACTTGAGAAGCTATCGGCTGCCTCTACTGTTCCCCAATTACGTTTGATTCATCCACTATCCTGCTCCCTATGAAACTGTTTCTTCAAATTTTAGACTGAAAGTGACTTACTCTTCAACTGGTTTCTGAGGAGCTGCATTAGCCTGGCCGTTAAGGATCTTCTGCTTCTCTTCTGCGAACAACTTGTCAAGTACAACTAGTCTGATCATGCTAGAGTAGGTCAGCATATTCAAGTTTGTGATTTTTGATGAGTCCATACCTGATTTCATCTGTCGGTGCATTGATCATCTCAAAGAACAATTGGACTGTATCAGCAACCCTGTAAGCATCCCTCAGCGTAAACTGGGCGTTATGCGCCCATTGGTTCCTGAAATGCTTCAGAATGAATATATACGATTTAGGAATATTTGTGGTAAAAGATTTGCTAAACAACGAATCCCAGAACTTGAGAAAAACAGTAAAGCAATGGGAAAAGTCCCAATTATCCGGATGAACCTTCTTATATCCCTCATATTGGATCTCTATACCACTGATTAGCATGCTCAAAGAATCCTGACATGTTAAGAGGCTGTTCATGGTACCAACTCTGAGGCATTATTTTGCATGCTCACTTTTGAAGTTTTCTTATTTTTACTAAACTTTGGGAAAGAAACAAAATCGCCCAATTACGGCTACAATACAAAAAATTGAAGTTACCAAGTACAAATTGACTTACTCTCTTGGTTGATCATCTCTTTATCGCCCGAATAGGGTTGAACCGATTTACCAGCTAAAGCTGTGAGCTAATTAAAGACCCAATTTTAAATATTGAACGATAAATACCTGTATTATACCCTACACCATATGCAATGACGTTCAGGTAGTCTTCGCCGTATTCTTGTTTTAAACTTTCCACAATATAATACTGAAAAACACAAGTAAAATGCTCAATTGCTTTATGTACTTGCTCTCTACTCTCTATACATAATTAGAACCACACTGATCCAAAATTGAATTTTAACCCATTAAACACTTCAAAAGATCTCTATGTCCACTCCTAACTGCGAATCAAGCTTTGTTTTGTTTTCTTTTAATTACCCCAATTATTTGTCTTCGACAGGTCACTTTCCATACTTATTTTTATAAATACCAATATTAATCGCTGATATAGGGGTTTTGGGGTTTTGGGGTTTTGGGGTTTTGGGGTTTTGGGG